CGAGTGCAGCGTGAGTAAACTTTGAACCCACAAGCTGTGTACCCTATTACTTTATTGCCGTTTTATGTACAGAACAATTCCTCAAAGCATTGCCTCATTAACTGGAATTTACATGCGTATGTAAATTACGCTCTAGCAATTAAGTATTATGTATATCCCAATATGTTACAGCCTTTTAGCAATTGTAGTAGTAAAACGAAGCTTGTTGTTCGTTTTAATTTTCGGCTTTATACACTCTTCCTTAACCAATAAAATTATAATCTTTCAGTTGTGTCAATTTGAATGCTGAAGCTTTTTATCCGAAAACCATTGCCAACAGAGTTGAAAATCGGTTCAATCTCCACTAAAAATTTGGCAATTCCGAACTGCAGAGTATAATGGACCAAGTCCATTTGCAGCAGACGGATGTACAAGAAATTATTAGAATCAGCGATATTTCTGCATCGAACATCTCAACCGGTCAATGTTTTTCCACGCACTTGTATTGGAACTTTGTAGAAAGGGGTTATCCTCCATCGGCCTCGCTACATTTAGAATCGGTTTTCAGGTTCTTCCAAACTGAATAAGGAAGGAATTGACAGGTGGGATTGAGTCCGTAATGTAAACGCTTTATAGACTGAAATACTTCAACGATATTTTGGTTGGATACGACTCAAATTGAATATGAGCTGGAGTTCGTTCACTGAAAAAAGGGAACATGCAAATTTTGAGCATTTTGAATAGAAGCCAGTGTAACCCTTGTTTAAAGATTTTAAAGTTTGTTAGTGTAAAATATTCATTTTGATTTAGTAACGAATTTGTTTCTGGAAACACCGCGTGAATTTAGTTTCGCAGAACTTTCGGACCGGAAACATGCACCATCATCATGCAGTGCAAATTCATTTAAATTCATTGATTTGGTCTTAGCTTCTAAATTTTGTTCTAACTTCGGATTCGTTAACTTAGTTTCTCTGATCAGCTGGCTGCAACCTATATAAATCAGGTGTCAAAGTTTTATAGAAATTTCACATTTAAATTTACCTAGCTTCCCAAATTTTAGCAACGAATCTGTCTGAGTAATTACTGTTTGTATCTCGTAAATATAAAGAAAAGAGCTCTCTCTGTATATGTATATATGGAGTAGTAATTTAGCTCATTTGGCTGATGTTCGAGTGAAGTATTTTCGCGGTCAAGAATTTTTTCATTGTTTCGACCGGGAGTGCACGTAAACCTGGATTTTTGTGGTTTTAGAATAAGAATAAGAATAGAAAAGAAGTTGATTTTTTTATAGAAATCTGTTTCTCTGCATCTACCTTGTGTGACTAAAAGTATTTCCCCACTACAGTATGAGTATAAATATGAATTTTTCGCTGTGAGTGCAAGTACGACGCTTCAAGTACGCTTTTACCTTGTAATTTACTTGACACTGATAGTCTTTTATTTTTGCCCATCGTCCTAGCATGGGGCAGTTTTTAAAGATTTTCTTCCTGCGTGAGGCGTTTGTATAAAAATGCCATATTTTCAGGTGTATTTTGGTTCTAGTATGCTTCGGATAATTTCTTTGCAAGTTATTGTTTTTGTGCAAGACAGCTTTCTATAATTATATCTTTTCTCTTGAAACTGAGATAAGGTAACATTTTATTTGTATTTTTTGAGTGTATTCTGTTATTTGCGAGAACGTCAACAGCCCACACTCACTTCTCTTGAGTTATTGCTGCTTTCTTAGCAAATTTAAGTAAAACTTAAAACTTTGCTAACACAGAGCATCAGCATTTAATTTTAATTAAAAATTCTAACATTTCCCATCTAAAAATATCAGAAAATAGCCATAAAAAACAGGAATTCACTTTGACCGTGCACGTAGAAAGACCGCCATCTTTGGTTTTACTTAAACATTGGCCAAATGAGTTACTACTCGCGGGACGCGGGCAGTGCCATAGCAAGACGCGGGCGCCGGCGCTTTACGTGCTGACGCGGGCGCTGTGCGTGCCAGACGAGGGCACCTTACGTGCTGACGCGGGCGCTGTGCGTGCCAGACGCAGGCGCCTTACGTGCTAGACCTGGGCGCTGTGCGTGCCAGACGAGGGCGCCTTACGTGCTGACGCGGGCGCTGTGCGTGCCAGACGAAGGTGCCTTACGTGCTAGACCTGGGCGCTGTGCGTGCCAGACGAGGGCGCCTTACGTGCTGACGCGGGCGCTGTGCGTGCCAGACGAAGGTGCCTTACGTGCTGGACGCGGGCGCTGTGCGTGCCGAATGCGGGCAGTATATGCAGTGGACGTAGGCAAAATGCTGGCAGGACCGACGCGGGCGGAACGCGGGCAGACGCAGTGTTAAGTTTTTTCTTGGCAGTACTGTATACAACAGACAAGATTATGAATTAATAAGATTGTCCATATATATATAGATTGTCTATGTATAGTTGTTTATCACGTGTTATAAATTAAAGATACATGAGCTTGTTAAGTCGTTTTCCAAAGCCATAACTATTAACGGCTAAACACCATCGCTTTAACTTCAAAACTGTTTTTAAAAGCGACATTCAAAATCAAAGCTTTTGGAGTCGCCAGCATAAATATTCAAAAAGTATTTGACGTTCAGTCATTGAAGATTTTGTACTGCTTTGAATAATTCAATCCGAGGTTAATGTTATCCAAAGAGCTATCTGCCCTCATTCTGCTAGATCTGTCTAAAGCCTTCGATAGCATCGACCACATAATACTACTTCAAAATCTAAGCAATATTGGACTAATTGGAGTATCTCGTCAGGCCCTAAATTGGTTTCGAAGCTACCTCTCTGACAGAAAGCAGTACGTTCGCATTTGCACCTCAGTATCCGAAACTCTTTTAATCACTCATGGCGTCCCACAAGGGGCAATATTGTCGCCTCTGTTATTCTGCATCTGAATAAATGACCTTCCAACAGCACCAAAAACAGTTAAGTTAGAATCATTTGTAGACGATTCGAAAATATTCATGTCGTTTCCAATCGCGAACATAATTGATGCAAAAAATAACGTAAAAGAGGATCTTAACATGGTGTTTCACAAATAGTGTTTCACAAATAAACTGCTAATTAACCCTGAAAAGACAAAACTAATGCTAATAGGCACTCAACACTAGGGCATGATTGTCAATGCCCTAGTGATAAACAAATTGTATCACTCCTCTACGCCCAGTCTACGGTGTGGTCATACACATCGGCAACAAATATAAAAAACCTTGGAACCGCACAAAATTTCGCTTGCAAGATTATAAGCAATGCAAGGAAATACGATCGCATAACACCAGCACTGCAGTGGCGTAGCCAGAACGATAATTGGGGGGGCCAATATTCATATATTCGTGTATACGCAGGATTAATTTCTTTTCAAATCAATTGTCTTTACAGTTTGTTAACATGAATATATGAATATGGGCCCCCCAATTATCGATGCTGGTTACGCCACTGCAGCACTGCAGGCGATTATTTAGCTTCCACTCAAGGACTACACAGCTTACGAATAACGGACTACACAGCTTACGAATAACGCCAGTGCTAGGGGTGAACAACGAATCCAAAACAATAATATCAGAGAGACTGCTGAAGCTCCATGGGCCATGGTAGACAAAATACATTTTTGCTTAAGTATAATTATACCGGAAAATATTTGAGCATATTTTAGAATATGCCAATTGCATGCTAATTTTAATAACAATACCATAAAAAAATAGACATAAAATTAATAATTGCCATGTAATCAACTCTCGTTCCTTGACTCTGTTGCATTATCATATTACCGTCAGTGGACGCATTTACGTACCATTTGGAAAGGAGTGCATCACCACGTCATGTTGGGGAGAAATGCGCATCAGCGGGGCAACATTCCCGAATTTCTTTGTCGAGTTTCACCAACGGAACTTTATTAATACCATTTTCTTCGTACATACGTAACGTTGGGAAATAGATGCTGCGTGATGCTAACAGCTAATTAATGCTAGAACACGTGATCATGCTCTAACTGTCTTAAGGCCCGAGCACACTAGAGCTATATGCTTAGCAAAAAGTCATTTGTGGCCATTGGGGTAAGGCAATTGCTCTCGTGTGCGGGCGACTTTTTAGGTGACTTTGGTCATTTGTGCCACTTACGGCAAATATCTAGCATGTTTGATAATTTCTGCCTCGCGTGCCGAAATCTTTCCGTGTGCGGCAAAATTAAAGCTATCTGCTTATGGATTGTCTTAACAGCGCATGCGTAATATACGAAAGTAAAGATGCACGATAGCCGTGCAAACAAGGCAAAACGAATTGGTGGCTGAGCCATATTGGAAGACAAACTGGTGTTTATACGAAGTGAATTCTACAGATTTTAGAAACAGAGAGCAACGGGAATGCGCTATTGCAGAAATAGCTAGTAAACTTTCTCAAACAGGTAATATCGTTAATAGCACTTTGATCGTTAAAGCGGAAGTCTATTCAAGTCGGACGCAACAGCAACAAAAATAACAACACCTCTTCCTCTTCACTTTCATCCATAATTTTGTTTTTGCAATCTGTCCGCCATCTTGGACCTTAACTTTCGTATATTACGCATGCGCTGTTAAGACAATACATAAGCAGATAGCTTTTATTTTTGCCGCACACGGAAAGATTTTGGCGTGCGATGCAGAAATCATCAAACATGCTACATATTTGCCGTAAGTGGCACGAATGACCAAAGTCGCCGGAAAGGTCGCCCGCACACGAGAGCAATTGCCTTACGCCAATGGCTACAAATGACTTTTTGCTAAGTCTAGTGTGCGCCGGCCTTTAGAAAATAGCTACCTTCACGAGGATTTAATTCATTAGTGACACTATAATTATTACAGAGTTGCTAATGAATTTAATGAAATCACTCATAATTCAATAGAAATTGATGAATTGCAGACTGTATAAGATATAGAGCATGGAAATACTAGAAGCTGATTGGCCGAGTGAAGGTAGCTATTCTCTAAAAACTTATAGAATCTCATGTCCTTACGCATTTCCACTATACAAACTAGAAGTCGAGAGTACGGTTTTGACTTAATTTTTTATTTAAAATACAAAATAACAAATGAAAAATATATTTTTATCCTTGCAATGCTTTGACAATGGCACAAGCTTTTCCCAAATCCGCAACAACCTTTCCAAGTTTCTCTTTTCGATAGGGAGATGTTAATGGGCAACTAATCAGATTTGTTGCCACTCCAAGAACACATCCCGAATTAGCACAAACATTAAAGGCATGACTAATGATGCATTTAGTAACCAAAGCCTTGCAGTTGTCGCCTATAATTTGACAAAATAGTAAGAAATTTAACTTACCAATTTTAGGTCTAATTAACATCAGGGCTGTAGCTGAACCGCTTAATTAGGGGCCGAGGGTGGGGGGTTCACGTGCACAATCTTTATATATTCACGTTTACATAGTATTACGGTAAGATTTTACAACAGCTTTCCAAAGTAATCGTTTTGATTGTTCTCAATGTGAACCGTGAAGGAATCTGCTACAGTTCAATTCCCACAAATGGTCCGATACTAGAGACGGATCGTCCGAACTTGGGCAAGCGAAAGGAAGTTCGTCTTCTAGTTCGTCTTCTAGTTCTTCTTGAAGCATCATCCGTTTGTTAATATAAATTAATACGGAATCGGGACGAACTATACATAAATATTTTCCCAATTCCCATGAACTTTGTCTAACCCGTATAACTGCCCTTATTAGAGATTAGCATAAGAATAGAGTATTAATATTAGAATACGTAATATACTATAAGACTTGAACGGGACCATTCGTCCAGAAGAATTATCCGTCTCTAGTATAAATCGGGACTTTGAAAAGCGATCAACTATGAAGAAACCACCATCATCTCACCCTTTGTTCTATGGGTTGGGCCCGATCAACGAAAATAATTACTTTACACAGAAATAATAATTCACTTACCCCCGACACATGCTCCACACGTTTTAGAACACTCCTTTTCATACCCCTCACGACGACAAAATATTGGCAGGCAAAATTTACCTTTATCAACACAAGGTTTCGCTGAAATTGAGGAGGAACATTACTGCATTTATTTATCAAAATTAAAAATTCTTTAACAACGTATACATAATGTGACTCTTTCCAATACCTTGAGGAAACAAGAAACCTTCAACTGAGGTCCCGATCAAAGATATTACGGCGATCAGTAAAAATACTTGGGTATTTTTCATGATGTGTGGCTACGTCTAAAAAGTAAAGATGTACATTAGGGTTTGTCAGGGCAGTTTGATCGATTTGTTTTTATATCTTTCCTCGAATCCTTTGTATTTACCATTTTTGACGTTCTAATAATCTGTTTTATAGTAATTTATATATATATATATATATATATATATATATATATATATATATATATATATATATATATATATATATATATATATATATACATAGAGAGAGAGAGAGATGCAAATGTTAACTAATACAGGTCGTCCGAAAATATCGTACCTAATATGGATGAATGGGAAATATGGATGGAATACAGCTGGTTGAATAAACTTGGGTGACACGCGTGCATAGATAGATCGATAATTAATTTTAATAATTGACATACATTGCATTTACAAGGATTGAATTATGTGCTGATTACAAGTGAGAGTAAGACTTAACTTGTAAACAATTCGAAGAGTCAGTGGCATAGCCAGCCCGACAATTTAGTAATGCTATGCTAATATTTTGGTGTTCATTGAGTGTGAAAACAATGAATTTGTAAAGAAATGAATAATGATAATAACATAAAATTTGCATAGCATGACTAAATCGTCAGGCTGGCTTCGCCACTGCGAAGAGCTCGTTTCTGGACACGCGTTCAATTTCATCACTAAGGTATTTTGCCAAAAAATACAATTTTTACGTAATTTCTCATTTCTTGATGCGCTTCCAAGTTCTTTTGAAGGTATGTTTTGGGTGCACGGCTCCCCCCATTGTCAACTAACAAATTATATTCAAATCGGTTTCATCTAATCACTGGAGTTATCGTTCGAATTTTATTTAAGTTCGCTGTATTTGTGTAAATATCTTGCGTTTCCATTGATATTGGTACAGGAATTCAAAATTTCATGTTAATATGCAGAGGAATAGAAACATGCACTGTGGCGGGGATTCGAAGATGAAAGATTTATAAAAACGTTGCTGTCATTTGTGATTTGGTTGTTTTATACAAAAATGTCATCATTAATCAAAACATACGAAAAGTGTGACCACATCTTGGCTAGTCCATACTGGATTCGGTCGGATGCGATATTAATTATTACCAAGTTTATTCAAGGAGGGGGTAATCTAACTATATTTGAGCAGCTTTCCTTATAAAATATTTATATATATGGTCACACTTACATTGCACACGAGACGTGTGGAAGTCAACACCGTATGTATACTATGTAAAGCAACGGTGTGTGCTGTGAACATGCCACAATATGCATGTATAATTATGGTGACTAGATTACTAAACCGATCAGGCAAATTCTTTGTTTTGACAGATATAATTGAAGTCTTTAAAGTGATTCAGTATAGCATTGAATACTAATTAGTTTTGATTTCAAAATAAAGCGTCTTGCTTTCAATTGGGTTTATCATATTATTGGTTATTTGGTTCAATCAGATTCTAACAAAGGCTTGTGCAATTGTTTTCAATAGAGGGGACTTTTTTGGAACACCCTGTACATATACTGTTCAGGGCTTACATGATGCACAGGGATGAGAGAAAAAAAGAAGAAAATATTATAATGTATAAATTATACAATTAATAATGACCTCTCCCCCGCATAGTGGAGCCCTTTTCTAAGGGGCTGTTTACATGAGCCCGGTTACCCGAGATTTAACGAAGCATGAGAGGACTTTGAAGTATTCAAATAAGTCTTTATGACACCAAACAAGCACATGCTATTGTTGTGGTGATTATACGACTGCCAGGATCATGTTATCTGCTCGTTTCAACACCTCAAAATCATCTCACGCTTCGCTAAATCTCGGGTAACCGGGCTCATGTAATCAGCCCCTAAGGGGATTTCTTTAGCCGGAAATGTAAAGCGTGTGCCTCTAAAGAGAACATTCGAATGTGTAATCTAAATGTGATTGATTCATTCGTAGTCAAATGACTTTAAATAAATGCAATGTTTCCCGCCATAAATTATTGTCATAACAGAGTGTTTTGTAATGAAATTGTTTTGTAACATGTATGTTTTCGTTCCTATAATAACAAAACACTTAATGTACACTACCTCGGGAAATAGTGAGTTTTGTTTTCCCTCGAGTCTCAATGTTCAGACTCTTGGGAAAACAAAACTCACTATTTCCCTTGGGAGCATACATTAAGTGTATAATATTACCATCATAAACGAATAACGCACCACGATAGCCAGTCTGTGAGCAAAACGTCACCAGTGGCGTAACCAGCATCGATAATTGGGGGGGCCCATATTCATATATTCATGTTAACAAACTGTAAAGACAATTGATTTGAAAAGAAATTAATCCTGCGTATACACGAATATATGAATATTGGCCTCCCCAATTATCGTTCTGGCTACGCCACTGAACGTCACTCGTGAACATATTTGCGTGAGCCAAGTTCCTTCAGTCTGCGGAGGCGTTTTTAAGGCCGTTCTCCACTTCAACCGTATCGTATCGAAACGTATTGCGTATTTCATTAGTTTAAAGTCATAATCATTAGTTCTGGTCGAATACTTCGGAAACAAAGGAATGCGCTACGTTACGCTACGATACGGTTGAGCTGGAAAACAGTGCTTGGTGCTTTTGTTCACGCGAGTCACTTGCACCGAATATTAAACAGGTCGAATAACTTGGAGCACGAGTGAATGATTATTTCCACACGTGTTCGGACGTGTGAGAGAGCAAAATTAATACCTGCGATCAACATTTGTCTCAAAATGGCAGTGAGTGTTACGGCAGTGTGGTAATTGCACAAGTCGTTTCAAGAGATAAGATCGCGGATATATTTGCCCGGACTTTTCATGCCTCAATGACGTGCAGAGTGATGACCAGGGCCATGGCATGGTGGGGTACACTTAGCAATTTCTCCGGGCCCCACGGGTGCAAGGGCCCCAAAAATTCTTCAAGAATAAATTAAACTATTTTGGGAGTATATATAGTCAGCTTTCAGAAAACGTTTGGGTTATTTATGGTTCAGGCAATGCAATATATATTCGATCTTGGAAAAATTTCACCCTAAAACGCAAGCGATCGCATTTTTGCGCACTAAAATTTCAAAATTTTCTTCTGCAAAGATGCCAGCAACGCCCCTCCCCCTAACAATGCTCTCTCCCCAAAAAATCACCTTTTCTCCCCGGGCTTCCGTAATTTTTTTGGCGGCCCTGGTGATGACAATAAATATAGGAAGATGTGCAAGAAGACGCAGTTGCGTAAAAATAAGTAGCTAATACCTACGTTGGAAAAAAAGCGGGTTTAAAACTGCTGCTGGTCTCTCAGCTCGAGCATCAAAATAATACTTGACTATTTATACTGACAGTTCACAGCAAATACAAAATGAATTCAGAGCAATCCCATGCATTAAACTTTGTAAGGCTGATATTTGCTGTTATGTGAAAGGAGGCCGGATTACCGAGCCATCGCTATCTGGCAAAGAAATGCGTAAGGCAAACACATATAGACATTCGGTAAAAATTTAAATCAGAAAATGTTTCGGTCTACGAACATGTAACTGACAATCCGATTACACTATATTCTATGATACTAAAATTATCCTGCGTTATATCGCTTTAATTCCTTTTCTCGTCACTGCTACTGCTAGACTTACGACGTGTAACCGTATATAATCATAGTTAATACACATGGTATAATAAATTATAATAAAATTATCTTGTTGTACTTACACTTATCTTTTTAGAATGCGTTTTCTTCTTTTATTCTGAAAGTCGAGAACTACGCGTGGTTTCCAAATGCGTCTGACAGTGTGACACTGTCATTCCACGGGACGGGGCTTATATGGATTTGGACCGTACGCTCCACTGAATCGGTCCCCATATGATGCTATTTTGATTGACTGATCCGACGTATTATAATGACGTATATATTTGAAGTACCTCACACTGCAGACACTCGATGACGCCATCAAATCGTGTTGCAATACATCGCGGTGATTGTCACCATCATATCATATCTGCATGTGCATGATATCTTTAATCTTTTATACCTGCACCGCCGGCTCTAGTGCTGTGGTTGAACATTGCAAGATCGCAACCGAAGCAGCAATATTCGACTTCAATCGCGAAACGACGCTTGCGTTTTGAGGAAAAAATTCTCCTTGCGTAAAAATTACTGATCGGAAATGCTCGTTGAAAGCGTTGCTTAATGACGCGGATAACGACTTGGCGGAAAGATAACTTTGATTTAATACAATGTGTCCATCCATTGAAAAATGAGATGCACAAAACTACAAATGTCGAGTACTAAATATAGCTAAAAATGGTTCAAAAATGAAATCATTTTAAACTTGCCGTCAAATAAGCAAGCCAGTCAAAAGAACATGGATTTTGTCTGACGATGCCTGTTTAAGCTGCAATTTTTGCTGTAACTTTGTTGTAACTCAGTGCGCTTTCATTCGTAATTGGAATTCGAAGATGCTAACGAGCGATTAGTTTGTTTGGGTTTGTATACATTAGTGTTAACCCGGGTTCGACCCAGGGCAAACCCACCTTCAAAGCAGGGTTCAAACTAACTTGGGTTAAAATGGGTTAAGCGTGCTTACACTTAAAAACGAGGCTTATATTAAGCGCTCCTTTGTATCTGTCCATAAAACGCAGGCATGCAATATGCTATTTAAAACATACGATGGAGGCGAATCATCGATTTATTATGAAGCATATTTAAAAAAAATACTCATTAGTTTTGAAATGCCTGCTAATTATGCTTATGCGCGTGCGTGTTGTATTCCATTGCATTTTTTCCCCCGAAAACAAAGCGCATCGTTTTGATCATATGGATTGTTTTGTGTGCCTCAAGGGCAAACGTAAATCTTCCGCTCGAAATTAAGACCATTTAAAAACATCTAGAATATACCTACATTGGGTGAAGTGCCAAAAATCATAATCGATTTACCCTCACCTAATCCCGGCATTACCATGATATACACACTAACCACGCTTGCTTTTATGAGCTACCTCTGTAGCTCAGTGACAAGAGCATTGCACCGGCATCGCCAAGTTGAGGTTCGATTCCTGCCGGAGTACCTATGGTTGGCTCATTTTTCCATTCACTGTTTCTGGCTTAAATTTGAAGTGTGTTTGAAAAACCTCTATAGAATTTACCTACATCGAGTGAAGTGCCAAAAATCATAATCGATTTATCCTTATTTAATTATATGTATACATAGAGAGATACCTCTTGACATGCACCAAAAGACGTTTGCGACTTTATATTCAGTTAAGTAAATTACGAAAACAACATTTCTTTATTGTGATTGATAATAATTGCAAATGAGACGATGTGTGCATGTCAGTGTCTTTTAGACCAGTGTTCCTAATATATATGGCATTTTTTTCAGTAATGCTAAGTTGTCTGCACTGATCGTCGACAAAGAACCCGATACACTGATCATATGCATTGATACACATCACATCTGCGTCTGCCAGAGCCAGAGCCGGAACACGCAATCATAACAAGCACGCAAAGACAAGGTAAGTTTTAATTCAACACAATATAATATATAGTTCAAAACTATAGGGCACAGGTCTTTAGAAGATATTTGATCGTTAACAAGATCTGATTTTTGAAGAATTCTGATAACAGTATAAAACGACAGTACCTAGTATATAATCTATGTCGTCTTGCTCTGTTATAATTAAGCCATGCGACTGATGCGAGTCATGCGACGTACCAGTTCATTGTTATTTTGAAAAGAATTTCTCTCTAACAGGTTTCAGATTTATATGGCTGGAAACGTCTTTTCCCACATTGCCGTTGATTATTTTTGACAATCTTATTTTCAGTTCAACTCGATTGCTTAGGAAATCAAGAACCCATAAAATACAGTTCCGATTGTTTTTCGTCACATTTTTATTTGTTTCTTTCTTGTGGTTTCTTGTGCGCCAATGCAGAAAGAGATTGCTTCTGCATGCTACACGATATGACGCTTTGCCACGCATTAAATAAGACTCTAGCCTTGTAATCTTAAAATAAATATCAATGTACGGCAAAATGTACATAAAGTCAGCCGTTCACGATAGCAACCTGTTGATGTAAATTGTCACAGTTGTTTGTGAATATTAGCGTAACCGAGTTCATCCAGTGTGAGATGTCGTTTTGCGACCTTTTGTTCACGTGGGCCGGTTTTCATAATTCATCGCAAGGGCTGCTCCAGCCTCGCCATCTGTTACACAGTGCAACTTTTCTTGCAACTTGCAATGCAATTCTACTTCTAAGAGATTTAAATTAGTGAAGAGTCCTGCAGAAGAAAAGTGCATGAAGTGTAATAAATAAAAAGTTTCGTTGTCCCCAAAAATACATCTTTCAAAAGTAGAATTGCTTCGAAAGCTGCCAAAAAAATTGCACCGTGTCACAGGGCCTTTACGATGCAAATTTTTCATGCAACTCGCAATGCGACTCCAGTTTTGAGAGATGCGTTTTAGTTAAGCATATGTACGAGAAAACATCCTTTGATTGTAATGAGCACAAGTTTCGTAGATGCAAAATTTACATCTGCCAAATGTAGAATGGTATAGCAAGTTGGAGAAAAAAATGCATAGTGTAAAGGCCGTTTTCCACTTTAACCATATCGTATCAAAAGTAGCGAATTTCGTTGTTATAAAGACATTAGTTCTGGTCGAATGTGTCGGAAACAAAGAAATACGTTACGTTACGCTACGATACGGTTGAAGTGGAAGACAGCCCTATCAAGGCCTTCACATACGTACGTATACGCAGGATTGAGATCAACGATTGAGAAGATGCGTAGGGTTAATTCTGCTGATGATTTGGTGTGTTTTTTCTGACGGCATCAAATTCATTATACAGCAAGTTGCAAAGGTTTTTAGCTTTTACGTACGTGTGCGTTCGTGCAAGAAATGCGACAGTAGAAATCCGCCCGAATTCACATGACGTATTTTGCTGTAATTTGTTGTAATTTTAGCTTAGCAGGGAACTGACGCATGCGATCGAGACCTAAACTAGTACGATAACTGGGAAGGGGTCTGCGAGTATATTCAGATATTCCATTAAGCCCGACAGATTTCTTCTAAAAACGTAAATGCGCACAAATGAAATATTAATATGTCAGGCAGAACTGGGAAGCCATGACGTGCAATACACGTCGCGTATATGAATATGCACCGGTGTGAGTGACGGAGTTGAAATATGGTCGTATTATTGTATCTGCGCGGACGCGGATATATTGCTACTGCTTTGTTAGCGTTAGGTAAAGTTAACTTAACTTAACCAACCCCAGGACTGTGCATCAATCTGCTAAAATGCCGTTCGCGGGCTAAACAGTAAACACTCGGAAACGGGCGGAAAACAGTGATTGTAGTATTAAGCCGTGTCGCGACCAAATAGATTTGTCGCGCTCGCTTTCATTTGATTTCAAGTTAACGTTCTTTCGTTAAATTTTTTTGGAAGTGTTGTAAATGAATTGTAATCATGAACCCTGAGACATTTAGCTGATATATCAAATACTCATAAAATGCTAATGAATGGTGTTTTAATGACCATAAGATTGTACTATCGAAAACAATACCGGCAGTACACCGGGACAAAAGCTAGGAAATTTGTATACTGCATGAGTAAAAAGAAATTACTAGTGAAAATCAGTCCACTTGTTTGGAGCTAAGGGCTGCCTTCCACTATTGGGTTTTTTGCACGTAGGTACACGCACGTAAAAGCTTAAACTATTTTAGACATGCCGTGCCATACATTGAGTGTAGTGTAAAAGTTAAAGCTCGTTATTGTGTAAATTAGTACTTGCCCAAAACTTTACTTTTCACCAACCGTCGAGAAAGACTGCCAAACAAGACGCTCGAGGAAATAAACCATATTGTAGTTAGGCATAATAAGGTTTATAATTTTTTAAATTGAATCGTATCATTATGAATACATGGTCATAAATTCGAAGATAATTAACATTCTGTCAAAAGATTATGATATTGTGTCAAAGTCCCAAAAAGCCCTGGGAACAAGGTTGCACCCCTGTGTGGCTGGGTAAGGGAACATTCATTCGAAATTCAAACAAGTCGCACTCATTTTCCAACAAGAATGCCCTTACTTTGTCGTTGTTCTTTTCGTTTAAGGCGTCGCTTAACTCACGTTTAGCCCCGACAAAATTCGTTCCCTCGTCGCATCTCAGTAATCGGAACGGCCGCGTCTAGACAGGAAGCAACGTAATGCATTGATTAACGAAACCTCGAGGTGAATTGCATGAGATGCTAAACACGTAAATAAAACGCCATAGCGTTTCAGTTCGTTTCTACCTTCTTTAATCTGGTATGGACCGAAACAATCTACGCCGTTACACATGGTAAATGGAGGCGCTAGATCTAATCTATTTGGGAGGAGCTCGGCCAGTTTCTACTCTTCCACCGTCCGACGAAGTTTGCGACACGCGACGCAGCTGGCAATGTGCGGCCTATGGCAGAACTTCCTACGATTATCCAAAATCCGTTCTCTCAGACTTCAGTGAGCGTCATTCCGCGCCTTTTGTGGTTTACTCGTTCATGGTAATGATGGGTTGGAAACTGTTGTGAATTCTGTCCATGCGACCGTGACGGGTCTAAAAAACAAAGCGCACTTCACCCGTGCGGGCGGAGCGGACGTAATGGAGAATCGCCTTCAGAGGTTTGTTTGAGGAGTGACGCGGAGTTGAAAGGAATCGGATTCGATCACGATTCAACACCCAGCACCTGTGGCGTACGGGAGACGATAATTGGGAGGGGGGGGGGCATATATACGCCAACGGTGCATGAAGAGTAGATGACTTGTTTTGATAGAAATAATGTTGTGAAAATCATAATATAACATGATCAACATAAAGCGTAAAAACCACGAGGCTATATCTCATCATTGTAGAGCATGCGCAAAAACACATTATGTGATGTGATGCATTATCTGTATTAAATGAAGTTCCAGCGTTTCCACAGACTTGACAATTGATTTGAAAAGATATTAATCTTGCATAACATGAACATATGATTAAGTGAAACGGCGTCTGCCACGGTATTTACCGACTTTATTCCGTCATCCACGTACGTAAAAAACGTAACGGACAAAACTCGCTACCAGTGGCGTAACTAGAACGATAATTGGGGGGGATGAATATTCATATATCCAGTTCTGCCCTACGGATTTCTTTT